ACCCCGTCTCACTGGAGCTCGACGCTGCTGCCACCTTGTGGTCATATTGTAGAGCTACACTGTTCCAATTCTGTTCAGTTTGTGATTCTAAACCAGGAAGCGTACAATATACTAATAAAATATTGTTTTGTTTATTGAAAATAATATTGTTTAACCCGTTAAATGTAACTGGCCCACTGGTGAGCCCACTTGTTATTACATGTTTATAACATGTAACTTGACAAACTATATATCATTTGAAAGCTTAAAGACTCTAATTTTCATATTTGGTGACTGGTTTATTCATTTTACCGATATATTTAACAGAGCAACCGTAATTTATTAATTTGCGGCAAGAGTAGCCTACTCATCAGACTTTTATTTTGAAATGTACATGTAAAATCGTGAAAAAACGGTAAACCCCTCTGTTAATGTTCATGCCAATTGTTCAAAAGATAACATCCATTCTATTTCTTTAGAAAACAAATGTCTAAAATGTTTACATAAGTGAATATAACCCCCCCATTCTCTGTGAGCTGTAAGGCACATCCAGGGTTTCCACCACATGTTTGTTAGAATATTTATGAAGTAGTTTGTCTACTTCATAAATATTGTAAAAAGTATGGAAAAAATATATTTCAGATCACTCAGACTATAAATGGAAATGGGGCGTCCTTATATGGTCACTAATGAAGCTTGAGTCATCAAGTGGAAAAGTTTGGTGTGCCCAAACAAAATCTTACTGAAAGATTTTATCTATTATTATTATTATTATTATTTTTGAGATATCAACCTCAAATTTGGAACTTGTTCAGATTTTTGGTTTTGATATTCTAGCAGTTTTAGAGTTCAACCTGTTTTGTAAAAAAAAAAAAAAATGTTTCATGTAAAATATTAAAATTTTTATTTTTGCATTTTATGTTTTCATAAACATAAACTTCCATAACTTTTTTTGTGATTTAATTTGTATAACTTTTTTCACTTCTACAATAATCTGCCACTTGTCTTCTTTAAAAAGAGACCAAACTTAAGTGGAACAAAAAAAAAAAAAAAAATGTTTCATGTAAAATATTAAAATTTATATTTTTGCATTTTATGTTTTCATAAACATAAACTTCCATAACTTTTTTTGTGATTTAATTTGTATAACTTTTTTCACTTCTACAATAATCTGCCACTTGTCTTCTTTAAAAAGAGACCAAACTTAAGTGGAACCGACAGTTAACAGGTTAATAAATGATAGTAGGCTATTATTAATAAACAGAATTAACCATTTTTAATTTTTAACTATGTTATTAACAGAGTGGCACATTAGTGTTCACTTACTGAATACTGTTGTGCTTTGAACTGCTCGTTCGTTTTGGAACTATATCAACTATTTTAAAACTACAAATTAAGAAACAGGCAGTCTTTGATCTGACACAAGTAATTTCACCTTAACACTGTAAATACATTTATCTAAAATCATTCATAACACCTCAATATGTCATCAGGAGTCATGGGTCTTAATTTTGTGTTGCCTGGTATAATTTTAGTTGACTCTCAAAGTCCTGGTACCTGCTGACTTGCATTTTATGAATCAACAAGCACCACATATGGTTTCAGGTAAAAATCTCAACAAGTCATCTACATCTTGGATGGCCTGAGGGTGAGCAAATTAACAGCAAATGTTCATTTCTGTCAGGACCACTATCGTCAAAGATGATTGACAATTAGCATACAGTTTGGATTGACGGTATGGTTCTGTTCTGGGCAAGAACTCCCTGCGCATCCATGCAGCCTAGCATGGATGAGAGCAGGGAGAGCAGCGATAACCCCCCAGGGTGAACAGAACAGAACTAACATAAATGTATTGCAGATATCGTTAAAGTTCAATAATGTTATGTACACATTTTAGAATTAGTCTGATTCAAAGGAGAATCAGAAGGCTGAATCCTGACTGACAGAGGAGGAGCTGGGGATGGAGGAGGGTAATTAGCTATTGAGCAATGCGAAAACTGCTGATACTACTGAGGGACCTTATATATGAATACTTACTGACAAGCACAAACCTATAGGCTACATAAAATCTCCATTAAAGAGTTCCTCACTGCCTCGTTTTCATTCACGTCCTCGTTAATTCCCATAGGTTGATGGGGATCAGCTGAGAGTCAGCTGATGCGAGCTTGAGTAACGTGACCTGCCAGAACTAACGCTACGCTTGAATTTTGGGTGAATTAGTCCTTTAATCAGGTTAGATGACATACTGAATTTAACAAGGACATGAATGAAAACGAGGCAGTGAGGAACTCTTTAATGGAGATTTTATGTAGCCTATAGGTTTGTGCTTGTCAGCTGAACGATCGGAACAATGTTGTTAAACAACAGCACAATCCATTGAATGCACTGCACTTCTATCCCTCACAGCCTCATTTTCATTCCTGACAAAAATTAAATATGTGGCTACCCTGACTAACTAACTAACTAACTAACTAACTAACGTGAACTTGTGTTGTTGTAAGTTAATATTAGACCAGTGAAAATAATAGCCTGTGAATTTTAGGCATCTGGAGTTTTGCAGACAGGAACACGATATTAAATAGCCTAATATTTAGAGCAAAAAAGCACAAAAACACAAGCTTACTGTATTTTATTTTCTGAAAAAAAGAGTGCAAAACATATGACATACCAGTATGTACAGCACATAATAAAAGGATGCAATCACGTGACCTCGTCCACCTCATATATCATCATCCGTTTAGGGGTAACTATTTACAAAACGAAATAGTCACACATTTAGCTTTACAGTAGAGAAACCAAACACAAGTTACAGTCCTAGACCAGCAGGCCTTATAAAAAAAAAATTCAAAAGGTTCAAAACTTGCTCCCATTTATTATTTTTAGCTTACTAAACAGAGCCCTCTGCTGGCTAAACATGAAATTGCATATGATCCACTTTTCATCCCATAATGCTCCCCTATCTGTGACATACAGCATCATCTACTTTCAGATGTGCGTTTATTACGATACCTGAAAAATGCCTTCAGAAAATTCCCTGGAAATGTGCACTGATAGACTGGGTGTGAAGCATAGCAGCATGTGTATGATACACAATAGATCGCGTTAGAACCAGGTACCTACAACTTTTTCTGTTTATGGTACCCAGAAATAAGGGTAGAACATTTACACTGCTGACAGAGGTATATGTATGTGACTTTGGGTTTTGTTTGGCTTAATCTACCAGAATATGAAAACAGTATTCTACTAATACGTGTTTTTGAATTTAATGAACATGTTGCTATTATTAGCTGAACTCTTTCAAACTTTGTTTTTCCGCTGGAACTTGATGAAAATGTGAATGGTACTCGTACAAAAGTCACTGCCAGGATGTCATGGTGTTGCTGTGCAGCTACTAGGGTGTTGCTATGGTGTTTTGGGTGGCTATTTGCTGGCCTAAATCAAAAGAGCCCACATTCAATCCCTCATCCAACTCTATGGGATTTTTTAGTTCTTTTATTATATCCACCTAACTGAAAATTGCATTTATGATAACTTAAAGTAGCCCACCTTTCCTTAAAAGATTTTACAATATGAGGTATAATTCATATCTGTTGGACAAACGGATGATTTATGCATCAAAATAAGCAGTTTTAGTAAAACTCCTAATCTTAAATATGATCAATATGCATTAGCATGAACCACTAACACAATGATCCTCCATATATTAGTTTGTAACTTATTGCCATAACATTACTTTGAATGTTTGAATGAAAAATCAAACGTCTTTGCTGATTTGCAATAGATGATCTGGGCATGGACTTGATCTGTAAAGTCTGGCTATATGGGTCTCTTAAATAATTTAATACAAACTGCACTCTAAAAAATGCTGGGTTAAATACAACCCAGTGCTGGATAAAAGATGGACAAACCCAGCAATTGGGTTGTTTTGACCCAGCGGTTGCGGTAAATGTTTAACCCAACCTTCTGGGTAGTAACCCAACCGCTGGGTCAAAATAACCCAATTGCTGGGTTTGTCCATATTTTACCCAGCACTGGGTTGTATTTAACCCAGCATTTTTTAGAGTGTGACATTCATTGTGATCCAGTCTCATTGAGAATATACATTATGTATCTAAAAGACAGCGTCTCTGTCATGAAAGATATTAAAGCGGTCATATCATGATTTTTGCTATTTTAATTTTCTTAAAGTCCAAACAATCATAATTAAGTTTTTTTTATGTCCATTTCCACCCTTTCTGATGTTGGAATTAAACAGGCTGTTTTTGTGCTGCTGCGCCTTTAAGACTTTATGCAAATGACCTTCTTCGTATAGGAAATGAGAAACACATGAGCTGTGGGGTTGCTAATATAATGTAACTGATTCATAAAACAATTTGTGCTGAAAATGAACTTGTTTTCAACACTGGGATCCTTTAGAAGGATCTGCAGAGATGTAGGTGCTACACGCAGCCAAAAACAGCACAATATGTGGTGGGTTTTACTAGTTTCACAATTTTACTCTTATCATTAGCTCTTCTGGTGTTTAGCAGAATGACTGCACACCCAATATGTGATGTTGATGTGTAAAGTGGGTGGCCATATGCTAATGACCTTGAGTTTCAGATGCCAAAATCTAATTTTGCTATTTAGTTTCAATAAATGCATATTTTTAGCACTGGATTTTTAAATTCTGATAGTTATAATGAACTCTGTATTTACAAATAAGGAAAATTTCATGCCTCATGATATGACCCCTTTAGACAAAAAAACAACAACAAAAAAAAAACACTCAGAATGACAGAAAGAGAGGAAAGAAAACAGTATGTCTTCTATCTCAGTGGTTCCCAACCCTGGCCCTGGAGGCACCCCAACACTGCATGGTTTGCATGTCTCCTTAATCAAACACACCTGATTCAGGTCATCAGCTCATTAGTAGAGACTCCAAGATCTGAAACTGGTGTGTCAGAGAAAGGAGACATGCAAAATGTGCAGTGTTGGGGTGCCTCCAGGACCAGGGTTGGGAACCACTGTTCTATCTTACACTTCTTCTCTAACACATACAGACACCAAAGCGCTCTGAGAAGCAATGCTGTCAGACCTGGAGAGAGTGTGAATGTGAGCATCTGTTAAGACACTCATTAAAAATGAAGGCCCAATTCCTCACAGTAACTGTCGACTCCATTTCTATCGATAAAGCCATGACAACAGCGAAAAAACACAGAAGTGAACCCAAAAAATGCGCATAAAAATAAGACTCTTTATCCAGTAGACATCTGTTTGAATTCATGATTTGGCAACTTACATTCAGACATTTGAAAGTGAGTGTGTGTTCAGTCTATTCCAGCAATAAATCGTGACTATGTTAAGTCAATGCAGTCTCATCTCCGGTACAGAGACACGTCACTTCTGCAAGACATCTTTGCTTTTTATCGACATAAAAGCTGATGGAAACTAAATCATGGATTCACAATAAACAGGATTCAGACCCATTTGGGTTAAAGTCAATGTGCACTTCATCACATTCTCTCTTTTTGAAAAGGAAGTGCCCTTGATCACCACTGAAGAAGAGATTTTGGCTTTAGATTTTTATTTCATTCCATTGCTGCAGTTCACGACTGTGTTCTTTAGGAGGCGCTATCATGCTCGCATAAAGCCTGTCCCCTTTTGTGCCTTGTTTTGCAGAGCAAGTCCCTCATTGTCATATTCTCCGGCTCCCCCCAAAAAAGCATGGTCCGGTCCAGGAGTAGGAGTGACAGGAAGGTCAGGGATCATACCATTTGTGGGTGCGGGGGTGCTATAATTCACTGTGTCGTACAGGAGGTTCTAGCTTGTGGGACAGAGCGGTGAGGACTTTGTCAAACTTCTCATAGCGCTCGGCCTGGCTTCCTTCAGAGCCACGGCTGCCCCATAAAAGCCTCATCTGAAACTCTGTACAGAAGATTTCCAGCACCTCCTTCCGCTCCTGGAAATCTGTGTGGAGATTGTGAACACCACATAAAACATGTGGACTAGAAAATAGGACTAGTGCACTGCAGTCCAAATTAAAGTATATGCCTGAATGTTATATTGTATATATCTTCAAAGTGTACATCCATGCATGCTTTTTAGGCTAACTTTAGTAAATAATTATTTATTAAGTTAAGTTTAATAATTGTGTCTAATATTAAATGCTTGGATTTTATATTTTAATTGTAACACAGGTTAATAGTTTACCCTGAAGCTTGCTCTCAGTGTTGGTGCGATACAGTCCTCCGTGGTGAGCGATGGTTCGGGCTGCTTCCAGGTGACTCATGACCACATCCACTCCAGACTCCACACTCTCCCAGGACTCCAGCGCCTCGCCTGCCGCCACACCGCGCTCCAGCAGCGACAACACCGGCACCACGTGAGGGAAAGAGGTGTTCGAGAGGACACAGCTCTCTGAAAGATTAAGAAATAATTAAAATTATAAATAAATAAATATTAAAAAACAGTTGGAACTACTGGGGGATTTGTGACCCTGGACCACAAAACCAGTCTTAAGTGTCAATTTTTTCGAAATTGAGATTTATACATCATCTGAAAGCTGAATAAATAAGATTTCCAAATGATGTATGGTTTGTTGGGATAGGACAATATTTGGCCGAGATACAACTATTTGAAAATCTGGAATCTGAGGGTGCAAAAAAATCTAAATATTGAGAAAATCGCCTTTAAAGTTGCCCAAATGAAGTTCTTAGCAATGCATATTACTAATCAAAAAATGAAGTTTTGATATGTTTACAGTAGGAAATTTACAAAATATCTTCATGGAACATGATCTTTACTTAATATCCTAATGATTTTTGGCATAAAAGAAAAATTTTATTTTGACCCATACAATGTATTTTTGGCTATTGCTGCAAATATACCCCAGCGACTTGAGACTGGTTTTGTGCTCCAGGGTCACATTTGTGATTTATATAATTATATAATTGCCAGTGCCAAATTAAATAAAAGATTGATAAGTAAAAATGAAAATATAAAAAACAAAATTAAATAATAAATGAGTAAAATGAAAATATTCTCTGATCATTTATTACATTCATTATATTACTTTTATTATCAATTATATTTATTAAAAAATATATATTATCAGATGGTATTTCAAATAAATAATTTACATGAACGTGAATTCAAATACAGGAAAGTTAATAAATAAAACAATAAATCTCGTAAATTACATCAACATTAATTGTAATGAATATTAATTCCATTAATTTTAAGAATTAGTGGTTGATTTTTATTTATTTATGAATTTTTTTGATGGTTTATGTCAGTATCAATATCTTAGAGAGCAGGGTAAAGCAAATATCATACATAAAAATATACAGTATATTATATTACACAGTTTAATTAAAATAATATGCAGGATTGCTGCAATTAAATTCATTCTATTTAAAAATATAACTAAAAACTGTAAAAATTAACAAATTTATGCTTTAACAACCTTTTGATTCTGTAATCCTATTGTAGTAGTTTGTGCGCACTGGGAATCCTATCTTCTCAAATAAAGACCAGTTAACACTAATTTTACATACAGAACACAATAACATATGACATGAATATGACATAATGGCAAACTGGATATAACGCAGCATAGTTTGAAATCAAGAACTGAAAGATAACACTCATGTGTGCGCGCAGGCGTTGGTTGGTTTCTTATCTCTATCAAAATAAAAGTCCCACTGCTTTAAAAATAAAAGCTACCTCTGACACTTATCGGCCAAAGAGAAAAATTAATCGGCCAATACCGATAATTTAAAAATGCCTTTGGAGATATATATCAGTCAACCACTATCAAGAATAACACTATATTGTCCATGTGATTCTTTACCAATTGCTTAGGATTTGCTACTGTCACTAATAATAAACGTTCTGTAGTGAAGAATATTAACAGCATTTCGTCATTAAAGAACATTGTTTAAGACACCCTGTTCTACCTTTCCCATCAGTCATGGCCTTCAGGAATGGCTTGAGTTTCTTCTCATAGAGGATGGCGCCTTCTGTGTGTCTCTGTCGCAGTGTTATCCATGTCTGCTCCAGCCGTGAGATCTACACCAAACATCACAGAATATACAGAAATATATAACTGTAATATATCCGGAGCTACTTCATAGCTGTGCGTTTACTGGAAAATAATTGCAACCTTAGAACGATCAGCACGAGTTAAATAATACATCTAAATAATACTATTCTGATATACAAATTATTACTATGCATTACAATTGTTTTAAACTTGCTATTAAACTTTGGTACTTAAACCATGAATGACAGTTCATATGCTGTGGTCTGAGAGGACAGGTGTGCGTTCTCACCTGCGGCAGCTCCAGCGCTCTCATGACCGCAGCGAATCCGTACATGTTGCCCATGTTGCTCTTGAGTTCAGCAGCCAGCTGGATGGTTTTATGCAGGAGGGCGGCTCTCTCCTCTGTGCTGCCCGTACAACCCAACAAATCCACCGCCATCATTATAGACATGGTGTAAAACCTGTTGAACAAGAGACAAAGAAAGCAGAACACAACTGATCACTCAAATATATTCAATACAGCTGCAGTGATACAGGACAAGTTGCTAGAAAACATTTTTTTTAATCTAATACTGTATCTCTGTAAATCGTATGATGGCTTGTTTTATATATATGTATGTTTTTAGATTTATATGAGTATTGCTGTGTTCATTTTCAGCTTACACACTAATGTTCAAATATTTGGAGTTGGTAAGATTTTGTAATATTTTTGTCTCTTATGCTCACCAAAGCAGCGTTTATTTGATCAAAAATACAGTAATATTGCAAAATATTATTAACATAATAACACTGTTTTGTATTTAAATTTATTTTAACATGGAATTAATTTCTGTGATGCAAAGCTAAATTTTCAGCATCATTACTCCAGTCTTCAGTGTCACATGATCCTTCAGAAATCATTCTAATATGCTGATTTGCTGCTCAAGAAACATGCACAATTATTATTATCAATGTTGAAAACAGTTGTGCTGCTTAATATTTTTGCGGTAAATCTGTTTGCAGAATTATAAGTGTCTTTACTGACACTGTTGATATATTTATTGCATCCTTGCTTAATAAAAGTATTAATTTCATACTTCTTATTTCAAAGAAAAAACATATTACTGACCCCAAACTTGGTTTGTGTTCTTGCTATACTTTTATGAAAAAGTAAAATACTAAATAACGTAATAACATCAGTATTAAGTTAATATATATAAATGCTTAATAAAAACTGTAGTTATTGTCTTTTTTTCATTTTATTGTATGGTTTAATTCTGAATTATTTTCATTATCTGTAATTCTGTAAATCAGCTGAAAGGGATAGTTCACCTAAAAATGTCCATCTGCTGTTTGGAATAGAGTTAATTACTGGACTTCATTGGCTGTTGATTTCGGTGTTATTCCCTTCACTTCAGAACAGCTGAAGTCTGTGGCATGTCCTGATTTTGATATGTCTGTTTGAGTGCAAGTGTTTCCTCACCTCTCCAGCAGATCCAGCCTCAGCTGGTGTCCATGCGGAAGAGTCAGCAGCTCCAGCCCCGAGCTCACTCCCATCATCCTCTGCATCTCCTTGGTAACGCCCAGTATCCTAGCAACCTGCAGATGGCCACACAGTTACACGAGCAATATATTGAACCCCATCCCTTTATTTCCACCCTAATATATTCACAGTCAGAACAGAAGACATTTAATTACCCTTGAACTCATCACATGATGAATGTGGTAAACAGCAGTGTGGAAAGAGTTTATTAACCCTGAAGGTTTAGATGTTAATGGAAGACAACAATGATGAAAGGTTTGGTGTGCCGTCCAGACTTTTATCAGTCAGCTTCACGTGTGCCTTACATAATGTTGTCTGCTCTCATGAATCAGAAAACAGAATCAAGAACTTGAGAACCAATCAAATGTCATTCTGTCTGTCTGTCGTGGGGTTTACTGGTCATTTTAACTGTTTGTGTACTTCTTTGGGAGTGTTTGGAAATGTAAATGTGTATGAGAACTGGTAATGTTGTCCTGGGTCCTCCAACAATTCATGTAAGAATAATTTATTTAATAGTAAACAGTAATTCGCGACATCAGTCAGGTATCAAAAAGCACTAATAAGTAAATTGTGGTAAGTTGTGTGGTTAAAGAGATAGTTCACCCAAAAATGAGTTCTGTCATCATTCACTCGCCCTAAAGTTGTTCCAAACCTTTATTTCTTCTGTTGAACACAAAAAAAGATATTGTGAAGAATATTGGTGACAAAACAGTTGATGGTAGCCATTGACTTACATAGTATGAAAAAAACCCCACTATGGAAGTCAGTGGCTACCGTCAACATTTTTTAAAAATATCTTCTTGAGGGTGAGTAAATGATGACAGAATTTTCATTTTTGGGTGAACTATCCCTTTTAAGTGGGGCTAGTCATGATATAGCAGAGATATATTTGGGCTTTAAGTTGAAATCAGAATCTGGCCCAAAACAAAGACCACGTGACCAGACCTGAAAAAAATTATCTATTTTTTTCTATATGTACAGCTCTCACTGACTTATTAGATTTGATAATAAATATAAAATATAATTTTCTATAATTAACAATAATGCTGTATTTATTATTATGATTATTATGATTATTAGTTTTCATTAATTACAAATATGCACCCACCTAAAACCTATCTAAAAATATCTAACTAAAACCAACTAAAAGTCTACATATTAAAAACTGAACCTGGGCTATATGGGTAAAAATATGAAAAACACAATGGGTGTGTGTTTTTGACCTAGTTATACATTTGTGAACAAAACAACTGAAAAATGTCTCTAGAAAACGGATTAAACAAATTCTCAGCAAGAAACGGTTAATTAATAGAAATTAAATCATATTTTTACTCAATTCTAAAAAAAATTATTTACTTAAAAAATATGTTTACATAAAATTAAAAAAATTGTGCCTTACATCAAATCATCTGTAGGTGCATTGTATAAAATTCAAATATAAATGTAGGAACTCGAAAAAATTCCTGTCATGACCCAAACTTGCATCATTATGAAATTTTATTAGTAACATTTCAGTCAATTGACCTTCTTGACTCATTGACTGAACCATTGCTAACTATGGGTTTAAATGTGAATTTCGAGCTCTCATCGTTTTTGCAATTATTATTCTCGTTTTATTTTTCAGTATTTATGAACAGGATTTTTGCTGTTCAAAACAAATTCAATAAATATTTTTTTAGAGTGCAGAATTTTTATTTTATGGTTATAGATGTGTTGTTCAAGGCACCTAATTAGAGTGGTGATAAAATGTATTAAAATGCTAATAAAATGTAGTAATGTATAGGGAAACAGTAATATAGCCAGTGAGTGTCAGTTTCTTCTGATGGCAATCTATTTATTTGTGTTTTTTTTACCGTGCAGTCTGCCTTGGTGATGTGCTTGGCGGCTGTTTTGGGATCCACCTCTGCCAGAAGCTCCTTCACCCTCTTCAAAACACTCATCTCCAGAGGTTTATTCTCGGCTGGCAGAAGAGTCGACTGGTATTTCCCAGGCTTGAAGGAGGAGCTGGTCTCCATCAGGGGGAGCATGAAGCCCTCCACCCCATCTGGGGCTCCAGAGTCCGGACTTTGGCCATCCTCCACCCTCAGCCTCTCTACGTAGCTCTTGCAGGGAGGAATGGGAGCTTGACCGGGTCTCAGCTCACAGTAGCTGCCGCCCTGCTCTGAACTCTCAGACGGGTAACCGTGGGCAGGCGTGCAGTGGGTGCTGGGGGGCATGTCTGAGCAGGGAAGGTTGTTATTGGAGGAGGATGGCGAGAGATGTGGATCGCTGGAGCGCCGCATCACTGGAGAAGGCGGGATCACGGCGAGGACACGCCCACCTGAGCCATGTCTGTGGCGGGAGACTGGAGAAACAAACAAAATAACAGACTATTACGTGGCTCTCTGAAACGCTTGATTTTGATTGGTCAGTTGCAACATTCCGAGTCCAATTATTCCCAGATAATGACCGTCGTCAATAAAAATGACTGCTCAAAGGTATCGGAGGCTCACTGTTCTTTCATGTCTGTCGTATCACACGACGGACGTGCTCTCTCCGTTTCATTCAAATGCAGCTGGTGACCCTCAGTAACTGACTGCATTTAAAATAAAACCAGATGACTTCAGTATTAAGCGGGTGTTCACAAAGAATGTGTTTTTGAGGTTAAAAATGCGAGGCGCTGGGTAGTGGAACGAAAATGGTCTAGGGATGCATTATTTAAAAATGGAAGTTTTTAAAAAATGCATTTTTGCAGTCCACTGTCCATGTTTTTCTATGTAAACATGCGCTAGATGGGCATGTTTGATCTTTTTTCTTGCATCTTTTGCAGCATCTCGCACATGACACGGCATACTATAAATGCAACGCTCAAGTTAAAAGTTCAACTTTTAAAACATTGTCCATAGATCTTGCATCTTTCCGTTTCGTCTTGCATTTTGCGGTTAAAATCACAAGATGCAGGGCAGTGAAATGCAAGATTTAGAGACATGTTTTTCAAAAGTTTAACTTTTCAATAGTTCTGTGTGAATGGCCCCCAATAGTAGGCCTATGGTTATATTGTTGTAGTGTTCATTTCGTTGGCAGAAGAATGTTTTTGCTCACTGGTAGGCGCTGTTCACATAGAATGCGTTTTTCTAATCCTCTACGCTACTTTTCCATGTAAAAATGTGCTAGATCGACGTGTTTCTTTGTGGAAGCTTTGCGTTTAATGAGCTAATAACATATTTCAAATCAAATCAGTAATTCACTTCGTGTCGAGGTCCTGATCACCCTGTCTAGGTTTATTTTGCTGGATGAACATTATCCTTTACTTTTTGGGTGGGCTAATGGAATCAATGGGTTTAAATATTCAGATACTGTATATGCATGACAATGTGTGTGTGGACTCACTGGAGCTGTAGGCAGGGGATAGCGGGCAGCGGTACTCTTGGATTTGATCCATGCTCATGGCGCAGTTCCTCATGGCATCCTTATGGTGCACTGTAGAGGGACTGGAGAAGACAAACATGCTATTAAATCCTTCATTCTTTATGTCAAAACACATTTTACATGTCAAAACAATCAAGCATAGAGCATTTTCAGCTTCTAATTTTGGTGGACAACTTATAAGCCACAGCTACAAGCTTTCTGAAAAATACATTCAGTGCTGCTAGAGACGACATGCACAGAAGCGGGTGAAGGGTTTCCATGTGGCCAAATCTGTTTGGAAAACAGAAGTGAGTGGGAGGGGGTCTGTGCCAGCTGTGAACACACACACATAAACACACACACACACCAGCTGCTGCCCTCCGCTGGTTTCACCTCTGGCTCGACTGTCTGAGGCTCATCTGGCTCTGTAGGCTGGGCTGCACTGCTAATACAAGACATCCTACATGAGCACATCACTCCTGCATCTTTGGCACGTGTGTACATGACCTATTAATATGCCTGATCTCAGACCTGAGATACCTGAACATATTCAAGATTTGGATATATATTCAAAACATATACAGTATATATATAGTTATTTTGAGACTCTAAACAAATTTAACGCCTGGTGATCATTAAAAACCAAAATGAATATGGTCACAAAACAAAACGTTATTTTGAGACCTCTGGTGGTCACTTAAAATACAAAATGAATATTGTTAGAAAATAAATATATAAATAAATAAAATAATAATAAAAAAAACACAACAAAACCAAACAAAATGTTATTTTGATACTCTGAACCAATTTAACTCCTGGTGGTCACTAAAAACACTAAATGAATATGGTCACAAAACAAAACAACAAAACAAGAAACAACAAAACAAAACAAAACAAAACGTTATTTTGAGACCTCTGGTGGTCACTTAAAATACAAAATGAATATTGTTAGAAAATAAATAAATAAATAAAATAATAATAATAAAAAACACACAACAAAACTAAACAAAATGTTATTTTGAGACTCTGAACCAATTTAACTCCTGGTGGTCACTAAAAACATTACATGAATATGGTCCCAGAACAAAACAACAAAACAAGAAACAACAACACAAAACACTTTAATATATTATTTTGAGACTCTGAACCAATTTAACTCCTGGTGGTCCTTAAAAACACTACATGATTATGGTCACAAAACAAAACAAGGCACTATGAGTTAGCTACTTTATTATTTGAGAAGATGATGATGATGATGACGATGAAGGTTTACCTGTGAGGAATGATCTTCTCTGTGGTCAGTCCATCCGTCATGGTAACACTTCGTCTCTTGATGTGCGCCCCCCTCTGGGTCGATGGTGAATGTGCAGATCCTGGTCTCCCACCAGCCAAAGCAAATGTCGCCTCCAGGTACCTCAGCGGCAGCATTCGGTTGACCGGACACAGCAGCTGGGCTCCAGTGCGTGGGCACACAGGTCGACCCGTGCCAGCATGGTGCCTGACCAACATGGGGACAGAGTCGAAGCTCTCATGCTCCAGCATGTACTGGATTTTGGTTTGCACGCTTTTGACCAGGACTTTACTGATCCGACAGTGGATCACGTCCTGCTGCCAGCGACACGTGAGGACATAGTCGCCCACGCTTGACAGGGAGTCCCGTACGAGGAAGTCACCGCTACGCAGAACCAAAGTTTCTGAGGCCTGTGTTGACACAAATAAAAGAAAAGGGATTATTAAAGGAAATGTTGCGAGCTGGACTCAAACCCACATTTCCCACATAAGCACCACAGCTCACTTTTCCCCCAGAACATTCCAGTGGAAATGTGTAATTTGTTTTTTAAATAAACACATTTTAAATGAAAATAAAAAAATGTATTAAAATTACTTTCTGTGGTAATCGAAAGCATTCTTTATTCTGTTTTTGTTGACATTTGCGTTAACATTTTTACATCACTGTGTTAGCAACTGAATCAATAGAATAACTTGTGTATTCTACACAAGTTTTAAAAGATAGTTGATTAAATGCCACAAATGTGATACTTTATGTGCTACATGCCTCTGCGCCAGCAGATGGCACAACAGTACATTTGGTGAGGTCAGAAGTGCAGCATGTGGGTGTATCGCCATGGCGACTAGCTATAGTTTTTAAAAGAGGGGGCTGGAGTTTCTCTTTACTCTAGCTTGGGCAGGAATACATTATGCTAATGCCCAGATGGCTGCTCTCATAGTAGAGACAGCGTGGGCTGTAGTTTGACGGCTCTATGGTGCAAAAAAGGACACAAACACACTCTCTCACACACACGCCGACAGAAAAACCCAAACATGCACAAAACCAGCAAATATACAATATACAAACACATGTGTAGAATGCACATAGAAAATACTGTAAAACTGCTAACAAAGGTTTTAATTGAACAACTTCTCCAGTTACATGCACACTTGTTTGGACATCATAGTGTGGACTTCCCTTTGACATCCATTGTTCTCAATGTTGAGGTGTGTAATCTTTTTGAAGTTAAAATACTTTCATCCATTACCACTTAATATGCAGAGACAACTGGAAGTCATTTGTAGGCGGTTTCCTGAAGAGTGAAACACTGGTACTTTCAAAACATTGCTCCATTTGTTTGAGAGAACAGTTTGAGATTTTGGGAAGGTATAGCCATAGATGACAGAGAGTCCTTTCACTGAATATGAGAAGCATATTGCACACGGACACTGAGTGAAATCACCAGCTCAAATTTGATTGGCTTGCTTTACGCAACTTCCAAGATTAAGGACACATGATTTTTAAATGGTCTACCTAAAAAAAAGAAAAAAAAAAAGCTGCCAGGATGATGCAACAAGCACTTTTGAGAATTAAATAAATCACTTGCCATGTTAGCGCCATCAAATCTTTGAAAGTTATTTAGAGTTTGAAGCACCCAGTAGGAAATCAACTAAAATCTTAAACTTAAAGGGGTCATATGATGCGATTTCAAGTTTTCCTTTCTCTTTGGAGTGTTACAAGCTCTTGGTGCATAAAGAAGATCTGTAAAGTTGCAAAGACTAAAGTCTCAAATTTAAAGAGATATTCTTTATAAAAGTTAAGAGTCAGCCACACCTACCTAAAACGGCTCGTTCTAACACGCCCCCACATGTCTACATCACTATGTGGAAATATTAGCATAATGCCGGCCAAATGTGCACGCAAAGAAAGAAGGCGTGGTTTCAGGAACAGCAGTAGTGCGGATGCAGCTATGTCAGGAAGACGCTGTGTGTTTCAGTGTGAAAGCAAAAGCACTTTATTTGGCCAAATACACAAAACAATGATCTTTAAATTAGCATCATATGACCCCTTTAACGTTTCTTTAATGGCATTGATTGTTCTATAAAGGACCTTTAACATCAGCTGAACCTTTCCGTTGAACAAAAGGTTCTTTATAGTGGAAATAAAAGGTAAAAGTTTCTGTAAAGTTCTTCAGATTATTAAAATGTTCTTCACACTTATAAACAAACTGTTCACTGTAAGGTCCCGTGGGTTCTTTTGGGGTTCTTCTATGGTATCACTGCAAAAATCCCCTTAAACTACAAATTTGCAACTGCAAGAAGTGAGATATAAACTCACAATTCTGACATTTTTTTCTCACAATTACGAGTTTACATCTCAATTCTGACTTTTTTCTCAGAATTGCAGGATATAAACTTGCAGTTGTGAGAAATACAATTGGAATTGTGAGATATAAACTTACAATTCGGACTTTTATTTCCTCCGAATTGTGAGATATAAACTCGCAATTTCATGTTATAAAGTACAATTTAGATGAAAAAAAAAAGACCCACTATTTTCTTACCATTGCAAGTTTATATCTCACAATTCTGACTTTATATCATGCAATGAGAAAAAAGTTCAGAATTGCGAGATGTAAACTGTGAGATAAAAAGTCGCAATTACCTTTTTTATTTTTATTCAATGGCAGAAACGAGCTTCCATAATTTTTGTACACTGGTTCATTATTGTGGTATAATCAATTTGACACAAATCCACCTCCAAATCCAAAATTAACTTCCAAAATGAAATGTCGTTTTACATGACAGTTTCTTTTTGTCTAAGGATCCAGAATAGGTTGCAAAGTGGACCAGACCCTATTCCGTTTAGTCAAAATTCTGGCTGTGTGAGATTGTACCACAGCAAATCTTGACCCACAAACGCACCTCTCGTGGAATATGGCCATGGTACCAGCCGTGGCTCCTCATGTCACTGCTACTGAGTTTGAGCTCCTCCTCCAGCTCCTTCCTGAGTTTCTCCGGGGGCGACTCCAGCAGGTACTTCTCCTTGGAGAACTGCAAAAAACACACAAAACCAACAGATAAGTCACACTGCCCTACTTCATGAACACACAAATATATGATACGGCAAACTATTGATCACTCTGAGAAAAAACAATTGTAAGGTTTATTGCCTCACTCATCAAACTGACGTATCAATCCATACGATAAATTAAAAAGTAACTTGAGTCACATAGAGCTTCACTGCACATCGTTCTTCTTTATAATTTATGTAACATCTAACCATGTTGCTAAAATCAAATAAAAGCATACAAATACACAATGCAGGAAGAGACTTGCTTGCCTCACTCAAAGAACCGTCCCAAGTGTGTCTGTTTAGACAACGGCACTCTGTGTCCAGTAGAAATAATGCATAATCTATGATTGTGACAGTTCAAGGCGAAGGTCTCGACCCTCTGTGACACAGGAAAACTAATCCAAACACAGCCGGCATTGTAATGAAGTCAATAAAAAGACAACGGACAAAGTTTAGGGCACTAACAGGGCTCAAAGTCGGTGAATATGGGAGATGAGGGATCAGTTTTGAAATCCTGGGTCACTCTAATGGTCTCTTCCTCTCTCTGTCTGAGGTAAACTGATTAAACATCTGATTGCTTTCCCTTTTCGACCGCCTTTTACACATGGGAACAGGAAAAGATGCTAGATTTCAGCAATCCCACTGTCATTTAACTGGTTGTGTGTGTAAAGTGTAGAAAGATAGTGAGGCAAGGTCAAGTGTAGGGAGTTATTGCTTTTGTCTCTGCCACCAGGGGCTGAATCCACCACCTGGGCCTAACCAGACCTCTCCGTAATCTCATATAGACGTCTGTAATTGTCTTTTGCTGCTTGAAGATGGCCACAAGGTACAATATTCTGGTCTCATATTCTAGATTTGGGACCATAAGGAAAACCCAGTGTGTGAGCGATAACAGTGCTAGGCTGATATTAGTACTTCATATCGACTTATGAGAGGTGCCTCTCACAGGAGACAGATGACCCTTTTCCAATATTTTTGAAATTCTCTCCTCCAACTTTATTAGTGTTTATTCAAGGAGTGAGTTAACTTTTATATAAGGTTTCGCCCATACTGTGCTTCCGAGAGAACAGATAAGAAAAAAATAAGATGAGCTGAGAAAAGCAGCAAGGCAAGACAAAATACAAAAAGAAGAGGTGAATCATGACAAGAAAAGAGATGAGACAAAATGAGAAGAGACAAGACGAATAAAGTGAAGTGAGACAAAACAAGGCAAGAAATTATGCAAATGATGAGACAAGACGACATGAAGCGAAGTGAGATGAGACAAGAGCAAGACAAAACAAGGCAAGAAAAGTTGAAAACAAGAGATGAATTGATACAAGAAGAGCTGGGACAAGATGAGAAGAGAATGGTCTAGATGAGTAAAGACAAGATGAGACAAAGTGAGGTATGATGAGACGAGCTAGACAAGATAGGAAAAGGAGGTGAATTGAGACAAGAAAAGAAATTATACAATAAGAGAAGATATGAGAAAAGACTAGACAAAGTGAGGTGAGATGAGACAAAAGCAAGACACAAGACAAGAAATGATGCAAAAACAAGAGAAGAATTGAGATAGGGAAGAAGCGATTGGGCAAGATGAGAAGAAAGGAGATCAGAAAAAACTAAAGATAAAGTGAGGTAAGATGAGACAAGAGTTACAAAAATGAGAAGAGACAAGACAAAGCACTGCAAGGTGATATACAAAAGGTGAAAAGAGACAAGACAAGAGCAAGACACATTTTGTCAAGATGAGAAATTAAAGGAAGTGAGATGAGACCAGAAAATATGAGATGAGACAAGATGAGAAGAGATGAAGACCTGGCAACACAAGACAAAAGGAGAGATGAGAAGATGTGAGGTGAGATGAGACGAGATAAGAGGAGAGCAGAAGAGAAGAGACAAAATGAGACAAAATTAGGGTGAGATGAGACAAGAGCAAGATAAGATATGGAAATACGAGATGAATTGAGCCAAGAAAAGAGTTCACATTTATTTGTAAAGCACATTTAAAAACAACAAGTGTTGTACCAAAGTGCTGTACAATTGTAAACAGTTTTGGCAAGATAAAAATAAAAACAAACACATAAGATAAAAATAAAACATGCAGATAAGCCATAAACAACTAAAACCCCCCATATGTAACACCATTGGCTAAAGAGAAGATGAGACAAGATAGAGGTGAGATAGATGATGAGATTAGATGAGATGAAACATGACATAAGGAGAAGTGAAAAGAGATGAGGTGAGATGAGACGAGACAAGAGCAAGACAAATTCTGGCAAGATGAGAAAGTGTAGGAAGTTGTGGTGAGACCAGAAAAGAAGAGATGAGATTAGCGACGAGAAAAGAGATAAGCAAAGATGAGACCTGGCAAGACAAGAATAAAGGAAAGATGAGAAGATGTGAGGTGAGATGAAAAAAATAAAGCAAGGCATTGTGACAAACTAAAAGATAAGATTGAATCAAAAGAGATGAGAAAGGACATAGGAGCTAAGGAATAAGCCTTAGCAAGCATGCATTGTCATTTCTGCAGAGTTTCACTCATTCACTCATGGGGGAAGTCATGGCCTAATGGTTAGAGAGTCGGACTCGTAACCCAAAGGTTGTGGGTTTGAGTC